CATATGTTATAATTTTGAATAATATATATATATATATATATATATATATATATATATATATATATATATGTCATTCGCAGACAGTACTGTTTCGCTGTATCACAGCTCTTCGGTGCGACTAGACATCCGAATGCCTCAAGTCCGGATTGAAACCCAATTTGGTGTCAGCCAGAGCCTCTACCACTGAGGTATCTGCACTCGACAGAATGAGTCGGCCAAATCTAGCGTATTGTTTTTACAAATGTAAACAAACGCCAAACAGCCGAAATGCTCTATTAATTTTACTGAAGAGCTTCACATTAACGCAGGTGGCTATCGCACATATAATGCTGGTGTTAATAAAACAGTGTTCGATGTAAAAAAAGAGCTATTAAGAATATAGTATATATTAATAAATATACAAAGTATCCCTCGCCGATTGCACGACTCAGAGTTTCATGCGCATATATATATATATATATATATATATATATATATATATATATATATATATATATACATGAGCGTGGAAGCCGACTTTTGATTGGAAATGTTAACTATATAATGTTCAGTCTATATATCTTTTGCTTTGAAGAATTTAATAGACAGTTTTTTCATCAATTACATAGTTTGAACATTATATAATGAAACCCTTACACCTAAATATTCAGCTGTGTCAAACGACCTCGTGTATATGTATTTATATTGATCCGACTTCGTGTATATGTATTCAGATGTCTTTTTTGTTGTTTCTGTCCGTGCAAGGATTACATCAATAAGTTTGTAGCCTAATTCTTTAGGCACATTTATCTTGCGCAACAAATATGCTTCCTTGTAGGTGTATTTAATTCAGCGGCTAATATTAATCAGACAGATCGAACATTTATGCTGTGAAGATCAAACTTCACTTTTTCGCGTTGTGATGTATTGATTAAGTTTCATTAATGGCATATCATAGTTAACTTGTCGGGTTTAGATCGCAGTTTGCAAGTATCCGCTGGGAGGTGGTCGCGATTTTGTTGTGATGGTGAAGAATCTTATCCTCTGAAAGACTCTTTGGGAGGGCAATTATTAAAGAGATTTGTTGTAGAGAAACAGCGGGAATTTACTTTAATCTAAGTAGCTTCGCCATCGCTGAATTCTCAAAAACCTTCTCATTTCAGCGTCAATGAGTTTGATGTCTTGAAAGAGAATTCATGAAGAATTAAAATCAGCTTCCGTTTTGCAAATAAATTCGTTGTTGTTGCTGAAATGTTACCCTAATTAGGGAAATTTTAAACTTCAAGATAAAGAGAAAAACTGCTTTCTCAACATCTTGTTTTTTTTTTTTTTTAATTTATATTACAGATTTAAGGTATGCATAAAAGAAAAAACATATACTCGTTAATTTTTTTTAATAAAGATTTTAGAAAAATATAACTCAATTTGTAAAATTCTTAGAAAATTTCAGACATTACCAATTCTTAGATTGCGTAAGGAAGTTCCATTTCTTATAATTTCATTCTTAGATTGTTGCTTTTTCTTTTGTCTCTCTGTCTTTTCTTCTATCTTTCTGTTTTTCTTTCTACTTCTCCTTCTTTCTTTTTGTCTTTGTTTTTTTCTTTCTCTCTATCTTCCTTCCTTCCTTCCTTCCTTCCTTCCTTCCTTCCTTCTGCATTTCCTTCTTTTCTTTTTTATTATGCTTTTTTCTTCTTAGTTTATATTCTTGTCCTGTGTTTTTACTCTTCACTTTTCATCCTCAACTTCTTTATTTTTTACCTTCTTCTTCTTCTTCTTCTTCGTCTAACCCAAACAAAAATCTGCAATGTTATCGATCCTGACCTGGCATGTCGGCTTCAGTCATTTTCCCGTAACGTAGCTTCCCTGTGTCTTTTCTATAAATATTTTAACGGCTACTGCACTGATTTCCACTTTGGTGCCTAAACCTCACGACTTTGAGCGCGGTACTAGACTGGAAGCTATGTCTTATCATTTTATCGTCGAAATTACTACATGAAACCGTAAGTTCTATGCTAATAGTTTCTTCATTCACCGTTCTCGCTTATAGATCTCTCTGCTTTTCTTCCATATGAAGTGTTACCAGTTGTCTTTATTCTCAGAGTAAGCCAATTGACGTTTTTATCGCATTGCATGAAGTGAAAAGATCCAACCTATGTGTATGTTTTTTTCCCTTTATCTTACACCAACGTTTTTTTTACATTCGACACCAACCTATTCTTGTCAATGTTCTTTATCTTGATTCGAATCTTTCTTTCATTTTTTTTCATTCATTCATCGCCATTTTTCTTTTATCGCTCTTCTTTTTCTTTTTCTCTTGTCCTAGATTTTGGCGCTGCCTCTGGAAATACAAGACGTCTTCATGGTAAGTAAATAAATAAACACAAATGTCCTGTATGGTCATTTGATGCCACAAAGACTCGTTTAAAAGTGCATTCCGTCGCGCTCGCTGGTAAATAATGAAGAAACCATCTCTTAGTGTCTGGCACCAGCGTCTGAATAGCTTGTAATGTGATCTGTCCCAGTTAGCATTAGTTATTTAGGATATCGCCTTGCTTGAACAAAAAAGGGTGGCCCACGAGCTGGTTAAAAACCGAGTAATAATCTTTTTAATATATATTATAAAAATTCTGTTCTTCATTTTAAAAAATGAATACCTTTGTTATTGGAAAAATCCCGAAGAGTAACTTATAAAAAAGATTTAATTTGTAAAATATATTTTTTAATTGAGTTCACTCCAAGGCAGTCAGTAAAGCTACAAAGACACAAGGGGTTATTGAGTGTGGAAGAATTAAAAAGAGAAACATCACTTATGGGCGAAAAGGATCTCCGACGTAGTCTAATGGTTAGCAAGCTTGTCTCACTAAATCACTTTTAACTGAATAGTGAGTTCCATCCTCCGTGGGTGCTCCATACTTTCGGCCTTGTGCCACATGTAAGCTATGCTTAGAAAATTACCATTATCAAGGAGCGAGAACAAAGGAAAAGTAGCAACTGACATTGCATTTAAATGTCTGAAACCAGAAAGAAGTTCCACAAGCGAGAAGTGCGAGAGAAGAAACTATTAGCATAGAACTTAGAGTTACATTTAGCCAACTCAATTTTAAATTGGTGAGACCTAGTTGCCAATCAAGTACTGCGATTAAATTCATAAAGACTAGGTACCCTAGCGAAGAATTTATCTAAACAATTACCATGAAAATATTTATAGAAAAGGAACAGAGAAACAACTTTATAACAGTGGGAAAGTAATTGAAGCCGATATGCCAGATCAGGACCAATAATATAGGATGGATTCTTATAAGAGTCACTAAGACCATATATAATAATTTTTTCAATTCTTTTCTTTTTAATATTACTATACCTTAAGCACTCCAGGTCTTCTTAATGTGTTGTGCCTCTTCAAGACGTAGGCGATCATGGGTCTCCACAATTTCCTGCCCTTTGTAGCTCTAATAAATTTTATCTGTTATTTCTCCTAAACCTTGTTCCGCCATCCAGTCACTCAATCTCATTAAGTATGTCATGTACAGTTTTACTCTCTCTCTCTCTCTCTCTAGCCTTCAATCTGTCCTGTGAGTAGCAGATTTTCCAAGCCCTCTCTCCTCATTATGATCCCTAGAAACTATCTCTTTCTGATGTTAAATATAATTTTCATTTGTTTCTATTTTCTCTAAAACTTTGCCATTGTTCACATCTTCAATCTATGGTATCCTCAGCATCCTTCTGTAGAATCATATTTCTGTTACTTCAAGTCTCTTTTTCACCTTTGAGGAGATTGTCAAGAAAAAGATATTACATTTTATAAAAATTAATCGGCGGGGTTTCCAGTTTGGTAAATTGTAAATTAACCTTTCTCATGAAAAAAAAAAAAAAGAAAAGAAAAGAAGTAAGCATTTTACCCCAAGCAAAGCGGAAGTGCCACTAGCAAGCAAGGGGTTACAGAAAGTGGGAGCAAGAGTAAAGAGGCGTGGAAGAGGAAAGGATGAAGAGAAGGACTGGGAATAGATCAAGGCATCTGGAGATTTCGATTGACATTACATTTGAATAGTTTCAGATTGTAGTTATCCGAGAAGCAAGTAAGAGGAAGGTAGTTTCACAGATGGGAAGTGAGAGATATGAAGCTATTGGAATAGAAAAGACGGCTATATTTAACCGTTTCGACAGTGAAAGGGTGAGACTGAGATGCCAATCCAGTAACACGCTTAAATTCATGCAGTTTGGGAATCAGCCAAAATAGCTTGTCGGAGCAGTTACCGTGAAAGTGTTTGTAGAAAAGACAGAGGGAAGCAACGGCACGTCTGTGAGAGAGCGGCTGCAAACAAGATGCCAGATCAAGGTCAATCACATTGCATATCCGTCTCTGGATTTTGTCGAGGACCTCAAGACGGACAGCGGGGGCTACAGACGATATATGTGAGCAGTATTCCATGCAAGGGCGAATGGTTGATTTATAGATTTGAAGGATGAACTTAGGCGAGAAAAACTTTCTGGCGCAACACGTAGAACCAATGGTGGATGAAGCTATTGATTCAATGTATTTGTTCAATCTCAGTTCAGCGGACAGTGTGAGACCAAGCAGGCGCAGAGAGGCGCTTTCGTGGAGTTGAGCATGCCAATATTACATGATTTCATAAAATGTAAAAAGAATTTAAAAGTTCAAATTTGTAATCCAGTTTCTTTTTTATTTGATATCAATTAAGGACACTAAATTACGAATTGAAAAAGAATATTTTGAGAATTGATTGATTCGTTCGTTTTCTACGGTTTATCAAACATTTGCAGGTTATTTAAAGCCAGAAAATATTTTTACATTGTCAGATTTTTTGAGGGCGGATAATAATGATTTAGTGATACAAGTCTTACTAATTAACCCATAGCTGAGAAGAGAAGAGGTGGATTGATACCTTACCCAACGGTATTTGCACGTAAGTGAATATAACGAATTCAATTGGAATTGGATCTCGGCTCTCCGATTAAAAATTCCGAGCCATTATCCACTACACCACCAGGACATTCAAGTTTCCAGCACCTGGTATTCCCAAGCGGTCACCCATCTAGGTACTGAACAGGTTCGACGTTGCTTAGATTCGGTGATCGCACGGGAACTGATGTTTCAACATGATATGGTCGTAAGCATTGTTTGTATTTTGATCCCTGCCACTACATATGATTCCATAAAAAAAAAACATTATTTAGTCTGAAGATGTTTTTCTAAGGTCGAAACGCTTTAGATAGAAATTTTTCCATCGTCATTCAATTACCCGCCATTTGTCTGGTATCCATATTTTACATCTCCTATTTTCCCACGTATTCTATAAAACCTAAATGGTAGTTTATTTGCCTTTCCCTGCCTCCTTTTCCCTGGCTCTGTCAAATTTCTTTCCTCATCAAATAAAATCTAAGCACACCAGCAGAACTGGGACCCGGACTTCCGATTAACAATATCCATTACACCAGTCGCACGTCCAAGCTTACAGCACCTGATATTCCAAAGAGACCACCCATCTAGATACTGACCAGGCTCGGCGTTGCTTAACTACGGTGAACGTGATGTGTCCGTGCGCCCACATTATAAGAATCATAGTTGGTTTGTTGATTTTGTTTAGCGTCATATCAACACCTTTAGGCGTTTTTAAAACCGAAATATTTTGAACACGTATTTATGGCTTCAACTAATTATATATTAAACGTAATTGTATGCCTTCAACTACAGATACAATGTATTGTTGGTCAGTTTGTTATAAATAGGTATTGTTGGTCATTTTACAATATAAAAATGTATTACTGGTAATTTTACTACAAAAATACTTTCATAAGGTTTTGTTTCTGTTTGGGATTTCATTACTTTCCCCTAGCTGGGATCCTAACAGAAGCTACCAGTCCGGATCAGGGTGTACCTGGGGATAATAGCAATTAAGATGTGGTTCCACACACCTCAAAATCTCCTATCTCTAGATCACTGGCCTTGCTACCGGATGTAGTTTATCGTCATACCCAGGACTGTTGTAAGAAATTACGTTGAATGAACATATTTTATTTTTTCCTTTGGGAGATTAGTTCACAATGAGCTTACATAGAAAACTGGACGCCCTTTTAATTTTTAAATTTTTTTTTATATATTCGTGATCTGGAGTGTTTGATCTATAGTAATATGAAAAATAAAGAAAAGATTATTCGTGGTTGACGTCTTTTGTTCAACTCCACGTTCTAGTACCGTCCTGGGTATGATAGTAAACTACATCCGATAGCAAGGCCAGTGATTGGGAGGTTTTGAGAAACGTGGAACCACCACTTAATTGCTGTTATTCCTAGGTCTGCCCTGACCCGGGGTGGTAGCACCTGTTAGGGTCCCAGCTATGAGCAAATAGTGAAACCTCAAACAGAAAGTATATAAATACATTTACACTATTCATAATTATTCGCACTGCTGTCCTCATTTTTAAAGTCATATTCACGACGTTTCGGGAGTTGTACACTCCGGCAATCTTCAGGTGATATAGGTTCGAATTTCTAAACGGACCCTTTATTCAGCTAGCTGAAGTAGAGTATTTTACTTCAACGTGCCATACTTTTTCTGGATATCTAAGTTTCAGTTATTTCCCTTTAATAACTCAACTCCCCGTGTTTTTTCTGCATAAAAATACATTTGCATAGTAAAAAACATACCGGCAATCGATTAAAAAATACAAGCAATAGATTTTGTAAAAGAGAAAAAAATTACCACTGATAAATTTTTGTAAAGAAAAAAATACTCAAGCTCTCAAGAAAATTAAATTTCGGCATTAAATGATCCATAAAGTGTTGATATTTTTAAGCATTTCATCCTAAGCAAGGCGGGAGTGCCACTAGCAAGCAACGGGTTACAGAAAGTGAAAGTAAGAGAAAAGGGGGGGGAATAGAGGAAAGGATAAAAAGAAGAAAGAGTATCAAGATCAAGGCATACTATGTCGATTGACATTACATTTAAATTTTTGAAGATTATAGTTATCAGGAAAGGAAGTAAGAGGAAGGGAGTTCCACTGTCGGGAAATGCAAGAGAAGAAGCTGTTGGAGTAGAAGAGGTGGTTACATTTAACTGTTTCGTCAGTAAAAGTGTGGGACTGAGATGTCAACCTTAAATTCATGCAGTCGGAGCACCAGTGAAAATGGCTCGTAGGAGCAGATGCCATGAAAATATTTATAGAAAAGACAGAGGGAAGACACATCAGGTCTGTGAGAAATTGACTGGTGTTCGAGATGCCAGGTCAGGACCCATCATATTGCATATCCGTCTTGGATTTTAATCCAATCATTCCTGTCAAACCATGAAATGAAGATCGTCCTGAACGTGTTCTTTTCCATTTCCTTTCATACGAACGCTATTGTTACCCCAACGATCTATTCTGTGCGCTATACTGTTTCTGTTCAGACAACATTACCATTTACTCCTGTCTCAATACCAAGTCCGGCATTGTTGACAAAGTTAACCTGGCTATTGTTCTTGAAAAGGACCTCCAGTCTGTGGTTGACTGGGGCTTGTATATTTTAACGCCTACAAAACGAAACTGATCTCATTTAACAACTCTAGAGAAACTTCCTTGACCCTATCAGCTTGGATGATGCTCGAGTTCGTATTACTGCACCTTCTTGGTCTCACCTTTTCCACTGACCTGGAGTGGAACAACTACATTGAATCAATAACTGCATTTATCACAAGGAAAGTTGGTTGTGTGTCGTGCCAAAAGGTTTTTTTTCTCATCTGAGTCCATCCTACAAATCTAACATTCGTCTACACATTGAATACTGTTGCCATACATGGTCTGGCGACTCAGCTATGCCGCTAAACAAACGCTCTAGTATTTTAACGCAAATATTTCTATGTCAAGAAGCCTCTCCCGAAAAATGTAAATACTTTTACGGGAATAGATACTGATAGGTATGGTAAACCTGGGGGTGGGGGGCATTGTAGAATATTTATAAGACATCATTGCTTGGCGTCTCACTTCGGTAGTCGATCTTTTTTACACACGATGTGTCTAATTTCTTGATCAGAAGAAGTTTGAAAGAGAACAGGTTAAAACATCCTCAGTATTAAAGCGAGGTAAATTATGAAAAGAATTAAGGAGGCAGCGACTTCCAGAAGAGACAATCGACTCTTGATGTTAGAAATAACAACAGACTTTATTTGTCGAAAGTTACAATAATCAATTAAACTTTTCCAATGTTGTGGTCTACAGAGATACGGTCCGTGTGTCAGGAGGTGTCAGCATTATTCAAAAAACATCGCAAAAAAAAGCAAAAACAACAGTGCTACTGACCGGTGTGGCTGGTAGTCGGTTCAACAAGTCAGTCAGTGAATTTCCTCTCCAACATCTGCTTTCCAACTCGATCTAAATATATCACAGGATTTACTGAAATATAATTAGCTTGACAAAATGCGTAAAATCGGACCGAATGACTAAACATAAAAACATATCAATTTTCAAGGGATTTTGAAAAATCGCTTCAAAATGAAATACTACTAGAGATTTTAATTTAATTCCAGATTTATATTTAAAGTTTTAGTTTCTGTTTTTGAAACATGGTAATTCCTGTGTAGTGATGGAACCTTATTTTTAAACTAGTAAATTTATAATATTTATGCTCTGCAGAATTGTATTGAGCACTGTTTTTAAAAATAAAAATAATAATAACACCGGATTATAAATCTTAATATTTTTCTCATTATTTTAATTTTAATATATATATATATATATATATATATATATATAACTATGAATTTAAAGAGTTAGGCAAACCTACCTATGTTTCACCTACGCTGATCGTCAGCGTACCCTGACGATCCACGTAGGTGAAACCTAGGTAGGTTTGCCTGGCTCTAGGTTCCTAGTTAGATTTGCTCTGCTTAGTGTATTGAGTATTTTGCTTAGTTATTTTTACTTTACTCGTGTTGGGGATTTTTTTCTTTGGACTCTGAACTTGGATTCTGGACGATTGTTTTCGCCTGAATTTCATGTTCTTAGTTCTTTCTTTTTTTATTCCATATTTTTCCTTCGGTATTGGTTTGTTCATTTACAAGCCAAAACACCTAAGGTTTTTCCAGACTGGTATATTACTTATATTTATAAGATTATATATATATATATGTATATGATGCGTATATTTTGGCAGCATGTTTTCAATGAGACATGTTTTGTTGATTAATTTAGACTTGATCTGTCTACTTATTTTCAATTGGTTCCTTTCATGGATAAGCTTTTTGGTGTTGTTATTGAAGGACAAGAGAATATTGCCGTGTTGATACATATTTCTTATATTTTATCTTCTAGTGGAGCGACCATGTTTACACTGTAACAATGGCAAGAAAACTGGTGCAATCAAACTCAAACTTTAATCTCGCGACCACAATATTATCAACTATAAGCACACATGAGCAGATGGCAGTGTGACAAACTTTAAGATTATGTTATTGCGAAAGTGCGGATAATTTTTGACAGTACCCTTGTAGATTCAGTAGAAAACACGTCCTTGTTGTATTTTGCATTTTGGGATATTTATTTAAACCTCTACTCTTGTTCAAAAGACTGAGGAGGAGTACTGTTTTGTAGAATTATAACTGAAGAGTGTGAATTGACTTTGTGGGATTGAAGAAAACGTCCCGGTTGCGTTTTTGTTTCAAACAAACAAATTCAAAATTATCTGTTTTTAAGTTATTGTATGTTGTCCTGGACTTCATTACAGGTCATGATGTATATCAGAATTGACACTTTGACATGGTGTAATGTTTAAGAAGTTTGTTTCGCTAAATATATTAAGAGTGAATAGTGAGGTCGATCCTCACTGGGTACCCCACTCTTTCGGCATTTTGTCATATCTAAGGCATGCATGGAAAATCACCATAGGGTATCTCAGAAAAGCCTCCGTTTTTTTTAACTCACTGCAAATGTTAATTGTTCTACTAACCTCATATTTCCTACCTGACTATCCTGACTTAGTCGTAATAAATTGTGATTAAATCGGCCTTCAAGTAATTTTTATTGACCACTATCAAACATAATGTCGCCACAATCAGGCACAGAGTCAAGGCTTATGAAAAAAGTCTCCATCCGAATACCTCATTGGTCTGAAATATCTTCACTCTAAATAATGAAAAG